CCCAAACATACTCTATATCCCAGGTCCAGGTACCCCCGCCCTGGAGCTACAAACCTCCCTCCGCCCGCTCATATGTAGTGTTGCTGTGTGCTGTTCATAAATTCATTCCATTGGGGTTTTAAGAGACTTTCCACACTTTGACCTTTGACCTATGTGAGTATGAAATGTTTTAATCATAATAATCATTATTGTTGTGAACTTTGTGTGAAGACTATCATTAATATTTATTCCATAATCTTTAGTTAATGTAGAGATTAAAACACAGTCATCAGCTCCAGTTTTTGATACAAGAGCAGTGATGAAAACATTTGTTATTAAATACACATGTTTGTGCATTTGATAGAAGCAAAAGTAGCCTAAATATCACCATTTTTACTCTAAAATTCTGTACAACGTGTCCATAAATAAAACAAGCATAAAAAAATAAACTAAATAAATGAATAGTCATACAGGCACAAATTCATTTCCAAACAACTGCAGTGTGTTTGGAATGAATCTGAGACAAGGAAAAGGTGGGAAATTTGGTTTACTGATAAATTACCAAACTGCTAAACTACCAATCTTTAACTGTGCACAAAAGAAAAATAGTAGATAAATTTTCACAAAACCAAAATTATCTATTTTCTCTTCACTTTTTCTACTTTAAAAGTTCACATTGATGTCAGTAAGAATCTGTAACTGACACATATTTTTCATTTTTACTTTATCAATTCATCAGTATTTTTTTTTTCAAATAAGTAGTCAGTCAGCAGACTTTGTCATTAAACAAAACCACATACAATTTCAACCACTTTTAGTGACACAGTGGATAGGGCTGAAGGATCTCTCTTAACTTTATTTTAGAGGGAGGGAAATAAAGGCATAGATAACTTCTAAATTTTACAATACAATACAAATATAAATTTTGAAAAAGTTTGCAGTTTATGTGACGTTTCTTGTTCTGGTCACAATCTAGTGGTTGCTTATAATATAGCAGACTACATAATGATCTGTGATAATCCAGAGATTATCAGGCTGTTTTACAGCTGATCAAAAGTTTAAGATCACATGCCTTTA